CATCAAGGCAACACTTGACCAGCCTATATCAAAGCAATGCTTGACCAGCCTACATTGAGGCAACTATGGACCAGCATACATTTGGGTAATGCTCGACCCACCTACATCAAGACAGATTCTGATTTAGAAATTTTTGTCACAACTAAATTTGGAGTTTTTCCTCCAGGTGAGTCTTTGATTAAAGCAGAGAAGTTCAAGTTTCTGGGAGTCTTGTTTTGGATTGGAGGACGGATCAACCGATCAAGGCCTTGTCTGCAGCAATCAGCATGTTGCTTTGGTTCATTGTGGTGATGGAGCCGAGTTATGAGGAAACGCTCCTGATTTACTGATCCGTATACATTCCAACATTCACCTATTGTCCAAAGTTATCCATCATGACAAAAAGAATTGGTTCCTGGTTATGAGATTYGTTTGTTTAGAGCTACCCAGTGTAAGGAGTATCACCAACGAGGGTGCTCAGAGCAGAGCTGCTGCTCCTCCACATCAAAAGAAGTCATCTGAGGTGGTTTGAGCATCTAATTAGGATGTCTCCTGGGTACAAGGTTTTCCAAATACTTATCACTGGGATGAGAACAGAACTCACTGAGGGGTTATAATATCTGCCTTAGGATCCCCCAGGAGGAGCTGGAAAATGTTGCTGGAGGAGAGGGACTTTTGCTTACTAGATGATTAATTGATGCAGTTTTACCATTTATTGAAATCCAAACAGTAAAAGGATGATGCTGGTTCTTCATATTGGCTTCCTGTTGTTTTGCTCACTAAATAATTTGCTGAAGCCACTGAGAAACCAAATCATATGACAGTTCTCTGACATGAGGAGGAGTTTGGCGTTAGATCAAATCAATGTTTTACTTTATGTTTGCTCTGGGCCATCATTAATCTGCTGCTCATGACTGRAACAAGCTGGGAGCACAGATATCCTTTTATAAAAAGACGTGACATTAAACTGCTGATATCCAGTTTGTCATGGGGGGTTAGAAAAGGCCTCGCAGATGACTGCTGGCTCTTTAAACTCCTCTTAAATCTTGTACAAAGCAGCGTTCAAACAACAGTAAAACTCCAGACCTGGCATCAGATTTGCGGCCACATGTTTCTTTTTTTTCAAGCAGACATTTTGACTCGTGGCAGCAGCAGCAAAAGCAAAGGTGAACTTAATAAGCTTAATGTGAAGTTTCCGTCAGCTTCTCTGTAAAGCAGCGCGCACAACAACAGCAGGACCGCTCCCATGTGAGACTCAGACGTCGTTATTGGACCTGAGCATTTTCTGCTGTTGCATGTAAAAACACCTGCTGTGTGCAGAAACATTGCTTCCTCAGCTCTAAATGGAAAAAAAAACAGGTAGTGTCAAGAGGGGCAGCCTTTTTTTTTGGTATTATTTCAATGACTCCTGTAAAGTTACTTTAGTGGATTCCAACATTTTTACTCTTTCCAGAAGGAAAAAGAACTAATATCAGTAAAATGTTGATAAGAAATTCCTTTTGTGTTGCCCAGTGAGCAGCGAGCACAAGACATAAACAACCAAAGGGAGGGGGGGAAAAAAGATGGAAAGAGGCAGATATTTTCAACCCACTGTGACCATCCTAACCTCCAGACGGCGGCACGCTAAATCCAGCTCCGGATATGAGCCGTGATCCTCTTTCATTTCCTGCTCCCACTGAAAAGCGAACCCTTAAACCACCACCCCCTCTTCCTCGCACACCTGAGAAACCTCCTAATCTGAAGCTGGATTTCTACCTGAGGGCCATTTGTGCGTATTTTATGCTCCAGGAGACTGAGAAGGACCCACTTCCTGTGTCAAATTGCCCTCTCGCATTCCACGCTACCTTTAACCGCCTCCCCCACTTTCTCTCTTTCTCCATCCTCGTCTCCTTCTTCATCTCTCTATGGGGGGCTTTGTCTGCCCATCAGAGGCACAAAACCCTGATTCATCCCACGAGTTACACATGATCCTCCAGAACACAACGCTTCTCCACCACACACACACATCACAGCACATACTTTTCAAGAAGGGAAAGGGCTGGCGAGAACAAGCTTTTGGCAGCAGATATTCACTCTTTGTCAGCMCCCCCTCACACACACACACACACACAAACACACACAAACAGATGGACAGTCACGGCTCTTATGAAGGCAAATGAATTCACACAAATATACTGGCTATCCGTTGGACACAGATGTCCATGGGAAAAATAAGTCTCTCGTGTAAAAATATAGCCTCCCGGATATGATGTCAGCACTTAGATAACAGGAAATACCCACACACACACACACACACACACACACACACACACACACACACACACACACACACAACAAAGCAGCTGGATTAAAGCCAAACGGCGTCTAAAGAACGATCTTGTCAGCAAACAAATTCAATCTTTGGTTCTGTGTTCGAGTCCAGGGTCACTCGGGGTGACTCGTGTAATTATGGCGCTGTTGACATGTGTGTGTGTGTTTGTGTGAGTCACCTTTTGGAGCAGCACCTACAGCTATCTGTGCACCCGCAGTATATTTTAGAGTGTGTGTCACACCTGTCTCCATCTGTACACCTCAATACAGATTAGATCAGCTGGAGATCTTTGGCAGAGATTACAGCCGACCGACCCAGTGTGTGTGTGTGTGTGTGTGTGTGTGTGTGTGTGTGTGTGTGTGTGTGTGTGTGTGTGTGTGTAGTTTTGTGGTATGATGTTTGTAAAAGCTGAAA